CGGTCTGGGGCAAGGGGTTCTTTGTATGCTTGGTGCTTGGGGGGGGGGGGCAACAGTGGGAGGGCTTCTAGTATCCTGGCCCCACTGCTGGACCTCCTGATGGGGCACCTGGTATTTCTGGTCACTGTGTGACACAGAGTGTTGGACTGGATGGGCCTTTGGCCTGATCCAACATTGGCTTCTCTTATGTTCTTATGTCCTCTTGCAGCAGCAGAAGCAGAAGCTCTGGTTCCCCTGCGACCTCTAGTCTTCCTCTAGTCCTTTCGACTGGAGAGACATGATTCCGGGCTGCTTTTCTGTGTAAGCCGTGGGGGGGGGTGGAATCCTCCGACTCTCTTTTGCATTTTGCAATTTTATTTTATTTTTTGCAATTTTTATTTCATTTTATTTTGCATTTTTAAAAGCCTATTTATTTTTTGGCTGGGGGGGGGAGGCACCAGGGAAGGCAATCAAGTGTGCCCTGCTGTGAGAAGGCAATACAAGACAACATTGAACTAATCCAGAAAAGCATTTTGGGTTTTTTTTTTAAATTATTCTTCATATGTTTTACTCAGCTTGGCTGTAGGCAGAACTTGTTTATTCAGCTCTTTTTTCCCTGCAAAAAAAATATATATCCAAAGTGGGTCTCTCCCCAAAGATTTCAAAATATAAACAAGCATGAGGGGAAAAAAACATTAAAATAAATCAGAATTCAAGTAACAGAAAAACAAAAGAGAAAACAGCCAAAACACGCAACACAACTGGTGACATACATAGCAGGATGACATCAGAAGGGGAAAAACAGAGCACCTGTGAGAGTCTCTGCTCTTTGATCAGGTCTGCCAATATTCTTGAAATGGAAGAAACACACGATCCAGAATCAGACATCAGTAATGTTTGTCTGCCCTTTGGGATGCTCAGGTGCTATATAAATTGGCAACTGGAGATTTTCTGCAGAAAACAGAACTTCCGACAGTCTACACTTTGTTAATGTCCTACATGGATTCTCTAATAGCTAACCAGTGTACCCCTGTGACTTCTCCCCATACTTAGCTCATCTTAAAGTTTCCTGCTCTGTATGAGCCCACCAACGTTCAATCAAATATAGCTCTCATTGTCAAGAGTATCGTTAATCTCTCTTTCTCTGTGAATTCTATAACGGCACAACAACGCGCATCTCATCCAAAGAAGTTTCTCTCACATTTGGACTCTTTATAGAAGTCTCTCTGGAGCACCTGAACTCTTTATAGAAGTCTCTCTGGAGCACCCGCTCGAGGCAGCGTCGTTTATTTAGCTTATTTGAACCGTTTTCCGTGTATGGGTTCTCTGGTGAGTCACCAAGTGTTCTCTCCGCATGAAACCTTTCCCGCACTCCAGACACTGGAACGGTCTCTCCCCAGTATGGATCCTCTCGTGCCTTGTCAATTCCCCTTTTGTTGTGAAGGATCTCTCGCACGAAGGGCACTGGTAGGGCTTCTCTCCTGTATGGATTCTCTGATGCGTTGTAAGTGCTGCGTTAGAAATGAAAAGCTTCCCGCACATGAGGCATTCGTGTGCTCTCTCTCCTGTATGGAGCTTCTGATGTTTCCCCAAGGTCGTTCTGTGTCTGAACCATTTCCCACAGTAAGAACACTCATACGGTCTGCCTTCTGTATGAAGGCCTCGATGATTCTCTAATGATATCCTGCAACCGAAGCGCCTCCCGCAATCAGGGCATTGATACGGCCTGTCTCCCAGGTGGTTACCCTGATGTCCAATTACGCCATCTATTTTCTTGTACTCGGAGATTTCATATCTCTTCTCAGTTATGTGGATTCTCTGATGTTTATCAAGGCACCCTGTCTGTTGGGTGCTTTCTCCCAACGTGGGGAATTCAAAGGGCTTCTCACCCGGACGTATGAGGACAACTCCTGGCTTGTAGCGATACTTTCTCCCATACTTGGAGAACAAGGGCTTCTTCCGCCCTCTGTGGATGGGACTAATTCTGTTGATACTTTCTGAGTGCTGGTTGCATTCATTCTCTCGCCCTCTTGGCTTCTTCTCCTCTTGCCAACTGGATTCCCGTCTCTGCTTATGAATTTCGTATCTTCCCAGAATATTCCAGTGAGTTACTTCCAGTGTTGTCTCTTGCGTTTCCTCTGGGCCTACCTCTTCCATTTGCAAGTCCTCCTTTTTAATTGGACTTTTAATCTGACTTGTCTTCTTATCACCTGCAGAGACAGAGAGGGATATTGTTTGTCTTTTGGAGACCCTCCCCCCCTTTTTTGTTTTCAAGATTCCTGTAACCTTCGTATTCGTCTTCCCTCCTGCTATACCTGGCTAAAAACATCTTGTGCCTCATGTCTTGATTACCATATGAACCTTACATCAAGGGCTCCATCTATGGGTGTGTGGTGGTGCTGTCCCATGAGGGGAGAGGGGCTTGTGTGGCTTTCCCATTGCTGCTGCAGCAGCTGCCGATACAGCACAGCACAAATGGAGTTTCCATGTGATACGTTTTCCCACATTTTCCTTGCCTAACCCCCCCGGCCGTTGCTCCTACCACCAAAGGGCTTTGTTTGTTTGCTTTAAATAATTACGCCTGATAATAATGTTATACACTATGTCATTACAAGTTGGGGACCCACAAGCACTTGCGGGGGGCATCTCATTTCCCCTCTACCACTATTTCCTCTCCCTTCCCTAAAAGCCCCCACAGCCTCTCTCCTTTTCCTGCTTCCTTCTCTTCTTCCCACCCACCAGCCAACCTTCCTTTATCTGACCCCCTGTCTTCATCTTTCCCTCTACTTCTGGTAGAATTGCAAGGTGCCAGTTGTGTTGTCAATCAGGCCAGGCCCAGCTACACAGTGGGGGACCTGCAAGAACTTGTATGGAGGGCACTTCACTTTCTCTTGTATTGCCCTCCTCAGACTTTCGCCTTTCCCTCCTCCTGGCAACACCCATATTTCTCTCCCTTTCCCTCCTCCCGGCAACGCCCATACCCACACCTTTCCCTGCTTCCTCCTCTCCTTTCCACCCACCTACCTTTTATCTGTCTCCCCCCATCTTCAGCTATATTATTTATTTGCCTCATTTATAACTGGCCTGTCTCCCCAATGGGGACCCAAAGCAGCTGACATCGTACTTCTCTCTTCCCTTTTATCCTCACAGCAACCCTGTGAAGTAGGTTAGGCTGAGAGCGCGTGACCAGTCCAAGTGAGCAGCATAGCAGAGTGAGAATTCAACCTGGGTCTCCCCAGATCTGAGTCTGAAACTCTAACCATTAGACCACACTGGCTTCCATGGGGTGCCTGCTGTTGAGCAGTAGCAACCAGCTAGGCCTGGCTAAGTTATGCACATTACGTGTCTGAAATCAAACTGTGAAACGTATCAAATGCCAAGAAATGACCAAGAAACTAAATCTGAAGCCTCCGTAGTGCCTAAGTCCCAGGTCAAAAAAGTAGTCCTACTTTCCCCAGTTGGTCCTCAACTGAATCAAACATTTCTGGGAGGGAAAAGATACAAGGCTTGCATGCCCTCTGGGGCTCTTCTGGGGGATTCTCTCCCTGAACTTCAAGAACAGCCAAATCAGCATCTCCAGGTCCTTACCCAAATCTTGGCCTGGGCGTCTCTCTATTTCCTCCGGGACCTGGACAAACATCACTTCCTTTTTTCCTGGGAGGGAGGAAAGGTCAGGTCTGGGAACTAAAAGCCTCTCTTGAGAGGAGGGAGGGAGAGGGGGAGAGAGAGACATAAAAAGACAGACAGAGAGAGAGAGCACAGAGAATTATTTCCACTGCCTTGGGACAGAAAGATAGTCACAAATATTTAACTTTGTTAGTTGATTTCTAACTGAAGAACACTGAAGGAAAAAATCAAATGGAGCTGATTCATATCATGTCCAAAAGAAGGAGGAGGGTTGGTTTTTATACCCCGCCCTTCACTACCTGAAGGAGTCTCAGAGCAGCTTACAATTTCCTTCCCTTCCTCTTGAGAGACCCCTGAGAGAACAAGCTCAAAAGAATGACAACAGGTAATAAATGTTAGAACAGAATATGTCCAGTTCTGACATATTTATTACCTATGTTGCCCCCCCCAGTTGAACCCAAACAGATGATAACCAGAAACTGAGCTTGTCATTCCTTTGATCTGTTAATAAACATCTTCACTATTTTGCATGCTAATTTAACAAGCCACCCCTATATATACAACTATGAATTGTAATTCCATGTCATTGTCTGACAAAGTGTGCATGCACACAAAAGCTCACACCTTGAATAAAACTTTGTCGGTCTTAAAGGTGTCCCTGGACTCTTACCTTTATTCTATTGCTTCAGACCAACATGGCTGCCCACCTTGCGCTATCTTTAAGGAAGTAAATAGTGTTTGAAGAACAAGCTTTTCACATGGTGTATGCATGCCCCTCAAATATATGTTTGCAAAACTTCTTTTATGGTTAGCCCCATTCCAAGGGCCTTTGTGACATCACTAGCCAATACCCAACCATATTTCCACCCTCAGCTCAGACCTATTTGCATGCCTAGCAACAGGGGTTGTTTCGTAGAAAAAGAGCTAGGGGAACTCATTAGCACAACTCATTAGCATATGCCACACCCCCTGACATCAGGGGCCCAGCGGTGGACCTGCAAGGCCGGCGGGAGTGCGAGGAAGCCCCGCCATGGCCCTCCCTGGCCCCAGGCAGGCAGGGGTGGGGAGAGGCGGGGAGGAAGCAACTTACCCTCCCTCTTCTCCTGCCTCCTCCTGGCTGAATGAGGGCCGGAAGCGGGGTGGCCGGAAGCAGGGGGCGAGGCTTCGTCGTGTGCCCCGCCCCCCGCACCTCACCCGGGGGAACTGCGATCCCCCGCGATCCCCCCCCCCGAATCGACCTCTGCCTAGCAACCATCTTATCAAGGATTACAGAAAGGAGCAAAATAGGGTTTCCGGGCAAGGCATCTCAGCCCCTGAAAGGCTTCTGGGGCAGGGGTTGTGCACCGTGATGTCGTGCATCACTGGGACACGCTAGCAGTTCCCCAAAACACTTTGTGGAGAACTGCTAGAGTGTCCTGGCGGCATATGACATGACTTCTGGTTACAAAGATCCCCCCCAATTTCTGCCACAGCTGCACTGGGAAACAGCAGGGGGACTCGGGGCAGAACAGTTCTGGAAATAAGAGCAAGGCCAGGGACAACGGAGGGACGCTGAGACCATGGGAAACAAAGGTGAAACAAGAGGTGGCACTCAAGAAGGCATTCAGCTAAAACTCAAGTCACAGTTCTACCCCTTCCCACCATTTCACTCAGGGGAAACAGCACAAAGCTCACGCACATCTTATTGTGTATCATATACATTTAATATCTGAAAGACAGCATCTGAGAGTAAATGGGTGGTGACCTGAGACAGGGCCTTCTCTGTCATGGCACCAAAACTTTGGAACTCCAGGGAGATTCGTTTGTCTTCTTCTATTGGTATCTTTCGCCAGCGTGTGAAGCCTTTTTTAAATTTGGCACCCCCCCAATAACGGGGCATGTTTCATTACTGTTTGCTATGTGTTTTTATTGAGTTATTTAATCATTTTAAATTTTATTTTTAATTGTTCAAATGCTTTAATTTTTTATGTGCGCCACCTTGGGGACCCTGAACGGGTGGGGAAAAGTGGCAGAAAAGTGTTTTCAATAAATCAATTAAAAATGTATATAATCTGTGGTTTTAAAAATAGGGCAGAAAGGCAGGGCAAGAAATTTGTGTAAAATACATTAAAAAAGGCAATTACATCGGGTGATCTTTTTGTGCTAGCCCCAAGTGGAAGAGTTGCTTACCTGAAGACTCTACATTCCCACCATCTCCCAGCAGGACTTGCCAGAACATGGTCTTTTGGCCAGGTTGAATCAGAGCCTGCTCAGCCCTGGTCAATGATGTATCTGTTTTCTTGAGGTCCATCATTCCCTAGAAAGGCAAAAACACCCCCAACCCCAAGTCAGATTCGACTGCACGAGAAACAGTGCGGACGCACTGTGGAGCCATTACCAATCCGCTCATAATAAGAACATAAGATCAGGCCAATGGTCTATCTAGTCCAATACTCTGTGTCACACGGTGGCCAAAACCCAGGGGCCATCAGGAGCTCCGCCAGCGGGGGCAGAACTCCAGAAACTCTCCCACTGTTGCCCACCAAGCACTCTGCCCGAGACAGAGTGCTCCATCTATAGCTTGTGACTAATAGCCCCTATTGGACCTCCGCTCCATATGTTTATTCAGTCCCCTCATACTTAGGGTAGGGTCAAGGATTTTCTAGGGACAGGTTAAAAAAAAGCAGGGCTACCTTGATAACCAGGGATGATTGGAGCAGAGGCTTTTTGTCCTTTTCAAATAGACTTACATGCTGTGGAACACGCCCCCCCCCCCAAGAATCACATACCTCAGTCTGCCTGGCATCCGCCATTTCCTGATTTTCAAAAGGAAGCCATGAACTGGAATAATTTTGCCATTTGGTTTCCCTGCCTGGGAGGAATGGAAGGGAGATATTAGGAGGCAAAATGCAACCTGCCCCTTCATCCCTGGGTGCCCAATGCAAAGGAAAAGAGCTTTCCTGCACCCTTTAACAGTTACATAATAAGCCAGAGGGAATTTGGACATAGATAGATGTGACGGACAGTAAATGGTTAAGGCTTTAACCAGATCTGAGAACCTTGAGTGACAGGGGATTCAAATGGAATTCTTCAGCTGAGAGTGTCAGTTGGGAGTTGACAGTTAACAGTGAGAGAATAAAGGAGACTGTGAGAAGATCAAGTAGGATCCTGAGTTGAGAAAGTGGGATGTGAAGCCCATCCCTAACAAGTCTGAGGGAAATAGATTCTATAAGACAGGGGTGATTCCCTAGCCTAGCCAGTGGATAAGGGAAGAAAACTGGAACTTGTGTGAACGTTCCTGCCTTCACCAACTTTAGTGTCTGTGAGACCAAGAAGCTAATGCTTGTTTACGTAAGAAAAAAAGAACTGCCAAGAAATCTCTCTCCTCAGGTTTTAAAGACCTGTCTGAATTTGTGATAAATTATCTGGTGTTTAGTTTTATACAAAGTTACCTCATTCCTGTTTACCTCATAAGTTCTAAACCTGATTCCTACCTGACAGTTTCCCCTCAAAGTAAAATAAAAGATTGTTAGTTTTGATTTACCATCAGCCTCTCATTTGCCATTATAAAACAAAGACAAAAGAAGGATTTTAGTCTCTCCCCTCAGTTCACTAGGCTGGGTCTGCATTTACCAATATACATTCAAAGGACTGGGTAGGACAGCCAGAGAAAACCAAAGAAAGAAAAGGGGCTGCTCAGCTAAGAGCAATATAAAGGGAAATTCTGTGAGGGAGGGTGAGATTGTCATAACAGGTTATATTGGATATAAATGCAATATACATATTATTGGATTAAAATCCTTTTTAACTGCTGAGGGTTTGAGCCTTCATAATGCCTTCTCAGGTTGACCGACGGCATATTTAAATGGGCTTCTCTTTAAAATACATAGTATTAGAAACAGATCTCGGTTTGGGGGACTCCTGTTCTAGTTTAAGACCACAGCCTTTCGCATCAGAAGGAAGCTTATTTTAGCAGCTGGTGGGAAAATTCTCTATTCTAGCCCCCCCTTTTCACTGGACTTTCCAGATGGAAAGGGTAGACTCCTACATGGCAAATTCCATCTGTTCAAACTTCCTCTTCTGTGTAATGGCTGAGGGCCCAGGAGTCTTGGCCTCACAGACAGCTAAGATGTGGGATTCTGGATAGTTCCGTGAATCCTTACTGGGTAACTTCATCTCCCCCTGGACACTCTGCCTGGCTTTCTTGTGGATCTCCCTCTGTGCTCCCGATGGCTCCTCTTCTGCTTTTCGGGACTGCGGCCAGCCCTCCTGCAAGAGCCCCTGAAACAGGAAGTACCATCTCAGAAACGGTTGTGAGAGACATTCTGCTCCCCCCACTTTCGCTGTTAATTTAAGAACCTGTTTTTGCAAGCAACAAAACTCACTAGTCCTCAGGAGGCCTTTCTAACGCCAAGCAAACTTCGTCATGGGGCCCCTTTAGAAACCGATCCATTGGCTGCCAGTCTGTTTCTGAGCTCAATACAAGGTGCTGGTTATGACCTTTAAAGCCCTTCATGACTTGAGACCCACATGTTTGAGGGATAGTCTACTTCCATATGTCCCTATGAGCAATATGTGGTCACGAGGCAGCCATCTGTTGGCTATCTCACCACTTAGGGTGTCCATGTCTGGCACTGACCAGAGCCTGGGCCTTTTCCATCAAAGCTCCGGCTCTGTGGAACGGGCTCCCCAACGAGGTGAGGTGGAGACCTTCAGGAGGCGCTGCAAGGCCGGCCTGCCTGACAGGGCATTTGAAGGCATCTCTTTGGGGGGAGGGAGAGATTTGGGTTGGCTATTTTGTTTCTGGTTTCAACAGAAAATGTTTTCAACTCTTAGTGTAAGCTGCCTTGAGCCACGAGGAAAGGCAGGGTATAAATGTTTTAATCAATCCATCAATGTGAGGACCAAGAAGGAGACCCAACTCATTTTTCTGTCACTGCTGGGCCTTTGAAACATGAACACAGGAAGCTGTCTTCTACTGAGTCAGACCCTCGGTCCATCAAAGCCAGTATTATCTACTCACTGGCTGTGGCTCTCCAGGGTCTCAGGCTGAGGTCTTTCACCTCACCTCCTACCTGATCCTTTTAACTGGAGATGCCGGGGATTGAACCTGGGACCTTCTGCATGCCAAGCCGAGGCTCTGCAAGTGAGCCACAGCAAAACTCCGTCAGCTGTGGGGCCCCCCTCCATCACTAAAATAATACTACAAAAATAATACGTTGTAGTCCTCAGTCAGTCTTTGACATGCTGGGAGAAGCTTCACTCAGGAATTTTTGACTGCCGTGAGAGATCAGGCACCCCTACCTCACAGTGCCATGGTGAGGCTAAGGAGGTCACACCCTCCCAAAATAAACAGAAATCTCATGACACCTTGAAAACAGGATAGGTAGCCATGTTTAGTCTGTATGTAGCAGGAGAAAAGAGCAAGAGTCCACATGAAGAAGTGAGCCGTGACTCACGGAAGCTCCTCCCCTGCCACAAATTTTGTTAGTCTTTAAGGTGCTCCTGGATTTATGTTCTAAGTAATAATGCTTCAGAGCCTCTCCAAAATCTTTTCAGAAGTTCTACTGGAATTTATGTGGCATTATGTGTAGTCATCAGTTACGCAGCAGAAACATTCCCTGTTTTATTTATTTCTAAAAAACATTTATTAGCCACCTTTCTCCTTTGCGGGACACAAGGCAGCTTACGATATAAATGAAACCATTATAGGGAACTCAATACAACAGTGTAACTAGAACAGCACTTATAAAAACACATAAACCATCAGAATTTAAATTAGTTTACTGGCTACAGAATTAGTGTGAACAAACAACTAATCCCTATGAATAAACATTCATCATTCGTGGAGTAGGGGGGAACATTCCGTTTTTGTGTATTCTCCATTATTGGTCAGTCCTACAATCCTTGTTTGTGGATCCACTCATGGTCTCTGAAGAAGTGAGCTCTACGCTACGAAATCTGATGCCGGGATAAAAAATTGGTCCATCTATCTTAGAACATAAATTTTCGTCATGGTTCTAAACAGCAGTGTCTAACAAAACATTTAATACTACTATTATGATAATAAGACAGCAAAGGTGGAAATTCTGTAGTGCTGTTATGGAAAGGCTGAACTTTCTCCAACTGGAGGCTCACCAAAGTGTGAGCCTGAGCATCTTTTAATAGACGCCGTTATTTTGAATGAGTTTCATGGACATGGTTAGGCTAGTTAGGGTGGAATCAGCCATTCCTTAATCTTATTAGCTCAATCCCATTTTAACTGAAAAACCACAGATGATACCCACAACCCCGCCCTCATTAAAGACTCAGGGATTAAATGCTCACCTGCCATTTCTCTGCCTTGGGTGCTTTCTGGCTCAGTAGGAAAATATCCACCAGGGCCGTGGCTTGGGTGCAGTTCTCGGGGCCGCCGGCCCTGATCCAGCTCTGCAGCTCCGGCGGCAGGATGGCCAGGAACTGCTCCAGGATCAGCAGCTCCAGGATCTGCTCCTTCGACCGCCTCTCCGGCCTCAGCCACCGGCGGCAAAGCTCCTGCAGCCGGCTGTAAATCCGGCGCGGGTCCTCCACCTCCCGGGAGCGGAACTGCCGGAAGTGCTGGCGCAGGGTTTCCATGTGGTTGCCTTCCCTGCGCAAGATGGCTGCCTTCACTTTCCCATAATCCTCCCTGTCTCTGGCCTCCAGGCTGCTAAAGGCTTTCTGGGCTTCTCCGCTCAGCGCAGGCAGGAGCCGGGCCGCCCACTCTCTCCTGGGCCACTGGCAGGCTTCGGCCACTTGCTCAAAGGAGGCCAGGAAGGCCTTGGCGTCCTCCCAGGGCCCGGGATCCTTCCCCAACTCCACATTAGGGGAATCCGTCCCCCCCAGGAAGTCTCGGCATTGGGCTTCCCAGCGAGGTGCCACTCTTCGCTCTTGCCACATTCTCCGTTTGGGCTGCTCTGCCATATCTTCGGGCCGAACTAGCTGGATGGCTTCTCTTCGTTCCAGCTTTGGGTCTGCAGAGTTTTGTTCCATCCTCATTTTCGCGGCTGGCTCCACACCTGCAAATCTAGGACAGGGATCCCAATGGCAAATAGATTCTAGGCAGAAAGTCCTTACAGTCACAGCTTAACCCGAAGGAGGAAAAGGCTCAACCCCTCCATCCTGGGCTCAAGTTGTCTCACTGCAAGAGGATGACCCCTGGTGAGGAGACTGACCAGGGGACAAAAGAATTGAAATTCCTGCACCCTCCAGTAAACCCATACCATTCCCCTGGAGGCATTTCTGACCTGAAAGAGGAGCAGGCCGGTACCCAGGATTCTGTGGCTTCTGGGGCAAGGATTTTTCTGGTGGGGCTGCCATAAAAGAGTGCTTTCGAGATTTTTTCTTTTAAAATCTTCCTAAGAATCTTGTGGGGCTGGCCCTTTACGGAAGGGGGCTGAGCCCCCAATAGCCCCACTGTAGCTACGGGCCAGAAGGAGAGGCTGTTTTGGAGCTAGAGAGACTCACAATGCTTAAAAACAAAAGGGGGAGGGAAGAGGATACCGTTTGGAAGGACCACCTCAAAACACCAGTCCCTTTTGAAAACGTAGGAAGGACAGATGGGGGGAAAAGCGCTCATGGGAAGAAAGGACGCACAATTTGGAAGAAACCTCGTATGGCTGAGCCCTGTGCCTAAGGTTGCCAACAGCCAGGCAGGGTCTGGAGAGGAGGAGGAGATTGGATTTATACCCTACCCTTCACTACCCAAAGTGTGTCTCAGAGCGGCTTACAAACTCCTTTCCCTTCCCCTCTCCACAACAGACACCCTGTGAAGTAGGTGGGGCTGAGAGAGCTCTGACAGAAACTACTCCTTTTCAAGGACAGCTCTTATCAGAACTACGACTTGCCCAAGGTCATCCAGCAGGTGCAAGTGGAGGAGTGGGGAATCAAACCCGGTTCTCCCAGATTAGAGTCCGCGCACTTAACCACTACACCAAACTGGCCCTGAATCACAGCTGGTCTCCAGATTACAGAGATCATTCCCCTGGTGAAAATGGTTGCTTTGGAGGGTGGACTCTATGGCATTACACCCCACTGGGACCCCTCCCCGGGTTCCCTGCGTGATTCTGGCTGGTATGTTACAGTGTTGCATCTCCTCTTAGTATCAGCAAACTATGGGCGGCCATTTTGTTCACGGCCCATCTCCTAGCGACGTCTCCATCCTCAAGGCCGGAACAGACCTTTGGGGGGCAGCCTGGGAAGCAGAGCTGTTTTCCTGGCCCCAGGTAGTTTACACAAGGCAGGGGTGGTTGGGATGTAGAGGGAGGAGGAGGACTCAATTGAAATGAGAATCGTGTCGTGTGGTGTAAAAGGGGAAGGTCCGGGGAGATTTGGGTTCAAGACACACACACACACACTCTCTGCCATGTAATCTTGCTGGGTGACCTGGGGCTAGTCACTTTCTCTCAGTTTAACCGACCTCACAGGATTGTTGTTGTTAGGATAAAACGGAGAACGTTAGGCTACACTGAGCTCCTTAGAGCAAGGGCAGAATATCAACGTACTAAATAAATAATCCAGATCGCATGCTAGATACAGTCTTAAACTCTCAATACCGACTGTTGAAACGTTCACTGCTCTTTACAGACGTTTATCTCATTACAACAACCACTTTGAGGTCTACTAGTATTATTGTAACTTAAGGTATTTTCAGGGGGTAGCCTTGTTGGACTGCAGTAGAACAACGAGATTCGAGTCCAGTAGCACCTCTGAGACCAACAAGATTTTTGGGGAGGTATAAAGGTGGAGCTGCAGTGGCTCAAGTGGTTAGGACACTGAACTGCAGGCTGTGGAAGGTCAGTAGTTCAGCAGTTCGAGACCCGGGTTGCCGCATGACGGAGTGAGCTCCCATCTCTAGTTCCAGCTCCTGCCAACCTAGCAGATCGAAAGCAAGAAATTGCAAGTAGATAAATAGGGACCACTTCAGTGGGAAGGTAACAGCGTTCCGTGCGCCTTGGTGTTGAGTCATGCCGGCCACATGACCATGGAAACGTCTTCGGACAGCGCTGGCTCTTCGGCTTTGAAACGGAGATGAGCACCACAACCCTAGAGTCGGATTCAACTGGCTTTCAAGCAAGGGAGACCTTTACCTTTACCTATAAAGGATCAAGGTGTCTCCCCTGCCAGATAAGTCGAACTCGACTGTACGACTGAACAACAACAACATCATAAAGGTTTTGAGAATCAAAGCTCCATCAGATATCCAACAAAAGTAGCTTTGATTCTCAAATGCTTATACGCAAAAATCTTATTGGCCTCAGAGGCATTACTGGACTCGCACCTAGCTATCGCATCTGAAGGCTACCGTGTCAGGAAAGCCATGATTTAAAGGGGGCTTTATTTTGTTCACATATAGGCCCCTATTAGGCAGCCATTTTAGGAACAGAAATCATACCCATTTTTCAGATGACGGAACTAAAGTTGAGACCCAAATCCGTGCCTAAAGCTAACTGGCAAGTGTGCAGGTGAGGTACGATTTGAGCTGTAGAACTTCCCATTTCATGGCTCAGTATCACACTCCAGGCAATGTTCGAATGTCACCTCGCCCCAAACTTAAACTAGATTACTTTCCTCTTAATGTGGTTTAACCAACTTCTATTGCCTAACAGCTGTGTACCAGACAGATCTTTACCAGATTTACCGTGTACCACCAAGCTCCCGGTACTGGGAAATGCTCCACCTGCTGAATTTCTGCTTGCCATGCAGTTGTCAAGGGCAGAGGAACCATGGCAGGAGAGGAGCTGGTGCCCCAGGAATGTTTCTCTGTATTTTTATGGCGCAGCAAGGATTATATGCCTTCTCTGATCAAGCTGCTTTTTAAAAAATGTTATTGTAAGAGCATCGGTTGTAGTTCTTTTACCACACCATAAGCTATGGCAATACTCTCAACACAACTCTATTTTGTTTTATTTACATCATTTACACTCTGCCCTTTTCCCCAATAGAGACCCAAAGCATCTCCCGTTGCTTTCCCCTCCTCCATTTTATCCTCACAACAACCCTGTGAGGTAGGTTAGGCGGAGAGTGGGTGACAGGCCCAAGGTCACCTACCAAGCTTCCATGGCATGAGTTCGGGATCCAAAGCCACGTCTCCCAGATACTAGCCCGACACTGCACCGCACCAGTCAGCAGCAGTGTTCCCTCTAAGCTGAGTTAGTGTGAGCTAGCTCTCAGTTTTTTAGCCTCTGGCTCACACATTTTTGTCTTAGGAAAGATGGCTCCAGAGCAAACTGATTTATGCAGCAGCCAAATCGCTCGCTCACAGCTTGAATGCCAGCAGCTCACAAAGTAGAATTTTTGCTCACAAGACTCCAACAGCTTAGAGGGAGCATTGGTCAGCAGTGCAGCTATATTCGGCTGTTGGAACAAAGCATCTTGTGACATCTTATCAAACGTATCATGGTGGAGATTCCTAGATTAAACACACATCTCAATATAAAGCTTCTGCCACGATCAATTCAACAATCTTTAAGGTGCCAGCGGACCCTGCTATTTTGGCTGCAGCAGATCTAACACGGCGATCCCCTCTGGAACAGTTTGGTCCCTCTTTCCAGCTCTCCTTCCCTCCCCATTTCTCCTTCCTGGACCCCCAATCAACTCACCTCTCCTCCTCCAGCGATTCACAAACAAAAGTTCTGCCACAGGAAGAAGGAGGGAAAGCTGCTTCCTCATTCACTTCCCATCCCCTGCTCGGATTTCTCAACTGCCCTGAAAACTGGGTTTTAACCCTTTGAAAGCCTAGGAGAACCACAATGAGAACAGGGCACTACACCACAAAGCCTTATGCTGAAATAACAGCTTGTTATTCTTTCAGGTGCCAGAAGATGTGTATGTTTTTAATAATGATGATGGATGGATGCCATTCATCAATATTTAGGGGAAGGGCTGTGGCTCAATGGTAGAGCACAAACCCAGAATTGGCACCATTTCATCAGTGAGATGATGTCACTTCCCGGTTCACGCTAGAAGTCAGGTCACCGCATCAGAGCGACACCGATTTCATAGTCCCTGCCCCCCAAACCACCCTACTTGCCTTCCGTTTGGATCAGTAGGAAAAAATGGCAAAAAGCCAAAGTGATCAAGGGTGTCAAAGTCCTTTCCTTATACACTGTAAACTCCCTGGGACAGGGACCTCGTCGACTGCCATCACCATCACAGGACAATCCTTTGAAGTGCATCCTGCTTTTCCAGAAGATGACAACTTCTCAACTAATGTTCCCTCTAAGCTGTGGAGTCTTGTGAGCAAAAATTTTACTTTGTGAGCTACTGGTAGTAAAGTTGTGAGTCAGTTCAGAAACGACCCAAGAAAAATGTATCTTTCTGTAGTTTGCTACCATAACTTACAGGGATGGCAGCTGATATGGGGCCTTTCAGGAGCAGGTAGGACCACAAGCAGTTCTTAGTCAACAGAAGACAAAGAGAAGCAGAACAAGAAGGTGGAAACGAAACACAGGCATTCGTAGAACCATGCAGTCAGTATATGTACAGCTGGGTGTCCCTGTTGTGATGCGTTTTTAAAAAGAGAGTTATGATGCTACAAATGGGTCATTAGCCATGCTTGTGATTTTCAGCCTCCCCCACACTGTTGTAGATAAACAGAGCCTCCATCGACAGAGGCAGCCTACCTCCAAATACCAGATGTCGAGTGAAGACCGACAGACATCACCGCCATGCCCTTGTTCTGAAGCCTCTGCTTAACAAAAATGTCCTGAGAACAGACAGAACAGGGAGGTCCCAAAGCCAAGCAATATGAGAGAGAGCAGAAGGGGACAGTTGTATCCTTCAGCAGGGCAAAGCAGCACTGAGTGATTCTACCTGTCGTACGTGGTCCTCCGGTTGTGATGAGAGAGAATTCTCTGCTGAGGCAGCTTTTCCTCCCTCTGCCGGGCAAATTGGGATGGCCAAAATTCTCTCTCAGGGTGGCATCCAAGGCTCCTCCTTCCGCCTTTCTATTCACAACAACCCTATGAGGTAGTCAAAGATAGACAGCCATCTTAGTCTGTCTGTAGCAGTAAAAAAGACTCCACCACAACAAAGCAGACAAGGGTCCCACTGACTTCCTTTTTAGGGCTGCCCATTCTCCCACTAGGGTAGAAGGCCTTCCACAGGACAGCCTTGCTTGCCTGCCACCACTATGTACAGCAGTAAATGGGGGGGGGGGAATGGAAGGAAACAGGAAACGACCCCTATGTTGTGACATCACTTCCAGCACAAACCCAGACAACTCACAGGGTGCCTGTTGTAGGGAGAGGAAGGGAAAGGTGATTGTAAGCCGCCCTGAGACTCCGAGTGAAGGGCGGGGTATGGATCCAATCTCTCCCTCTTCTAGTCTGTAAGGTGCTGCTGGACTTTTGCTCATTTCTACTCCCGTGAGGTCACCTAGGCGGAGAGGGCATGGCAGGCTCCAGGTCACCCAGTTTCATGGCAAGCAGGGAACTGACCAGTCTCACCATTCCGAGTCCAACCACAACACCATATACATTTACTCCAACTGACTGTAGAGAAACATCTTACTTATTCATATTCATTTTCCAATTTCAAAAAAATATTTATTTATTGAAACATTTATATATCCTGCCTTTTCTCATGTCCAAAACGGCTCACAAGAAAAAGTTATTTTCTAAACAAAAAAATAAAGCCAAGGGGACAATAATATTTAAATATGAATTTATTTTAAAAACACACACACAAGGAACAGGATAATAAAACATAGAAAGGAAAGAAATACAAAACATCAGTACAGTGCGTGAGATTCTCTGTTGTGTGATCATGTGTATCAGAAGGGCACTGACAATGTTCTTCTGCCTTTTGGATTCTCTGGCCTGTAAGGTGAATTGATCCCATTGGGGATTTTCAATGGAACAGTCTAAAAAGGCTGTCGGTGGGCTCCCTGGATTCTCTGATGGCTAACCAAAGGGACTACGGATTTTCCCCACACTTGGGATTATCCATCAGGTTTCTGCTCAGATCTTCAATCTGTTTAGTTTCTTTCTCTGAGAAAAACTATTTTCATAGTCTGTGTCCTGTACAAACTTTGTGATGTGTCTTTGAATTTTCGGCCCAGTCTCCCCATTCCGAGTCCAACCACAACACCATATCCATTTACTCCAACTGACTGTAGAGAAACATCTTCCTTATTCATATTAATTTCCCAATAAAAAAAATTATTTACTGAAACATTTATATCCTGCCTTTCCTCATGTCCAAAACGGCTCGCAAGAAAAAGGTTTTTTTCTAAACAAAAAAAATAAAGCCAAGGGGACAATAACATTTAAATATGAATTTATTTAAAAAACACACACACAAGGAACAGGATAATAAAACAGAGAAAGGAAAGAAATACAAAACGTTAGTACAGTGTGTAAGATTCTCTGTTACGTGATCATGTGTATCAGAAGGGCACTGACAATGTTCTTCTGCCTTTTGGATTCTCTGGCCTGTAAGGTGAATTGATCCCATTGGGGATTTTCAATGGAACAGTCTAAAAAGGCTGTCGGTGGGCTCCCTGGATTCTCTGATGGCTAACCAAAGGGACTACGGATTTTCCCCACACTTGGGATTATCCATCAGGTTTCTGCTCAGATCTTTAATCTGTTTAGTTTCTTTCTCTGAGAAAAACTATTTTCATAGTCTGTGTCCTGTACGAACTTTGTGATGTGTCTTTGAATTTTCGTACTTGCTGAAGGACGTTCCCACCACGGGGCGATTTGTACCGTTTCTCCCATATAAGAATCCTCTGATGTTCAGTCAATTGGTTTCTCCTTTCAAGGGAAACCTTCCTTTACACCTGGGACGGACAGGCAAAAGGGCCTTCTCCCATATGGCATTTCTATGTTGCCTCAAAAGGATCATGTACAATATAGGGTATCTCTCCTGTATAAATTCACAGATGCTGAACTGATTTCTTGCCCATTTTCTTCACACTCAGAGCATTTATAAGTCTTCTTTCTTGTACATCTACTCAGATGCCCCTGCAAATCATCTGTCTGTCGCAGGGGTCATTTCGTAGAAAAAGAGCAAAATGTCTGCAAAATTCGTACAAGTTCTCTCATACACGACTTCTAGTATCTTTACCGAGATCCGGTTTCTGGCCAGGTTCTTCCCCCTTCCACAGGGTATGCCTGGAGGTTCCTTCCCATGTGCACTAAATCGACTCCTGATCTAGAATGGAGTCTTCCCACTCTGGAGGCCATAGGCCATTCAGGTCTTGGAGGCTCTATGGTTTCGTTACTACCAGCAGCTGTACCGCTTTCTATAATTCATTCCCTCCTCCCTCTGGTCTTGTCCTCCACTGCCTTTCAGAACTGTGACTCTGCTGTTGAACCTCAGCCGTCAACACCATCTTCCTGTGGGTTAAATCCGGGACGGTCCTGTGCATTTCCTTTGGCTCACTTCCTCCACACTGAGAATTCTCTACCTCGAGCTTAATCCCCTTCCTGCCACCTGCAGAGACAGAAAGAGAGGAGGGGGTCTGCAATATATACATATCAGCAATATTTGCATTTGGGGCAAAGTGACGGTCAATTGTGCAATAATTAACTATTAGGCAGATTTGCCCTTTTTTTGCTTATTTTGCATAATTGATTCTGCCCATGTTGACTGAAGGTTTCACAACATGAAACGCTAAAAGATCAGAGCTGTTCCGTCTGGATTTACTAGCTCTGTATCACATCATGCTCTTTTAGTTAGGAAGTGAAGAAGATGACTCTCATCAGCCTCCAAGAAGAGCCCTACTTAAGTGGACCGAGTGTCCATTTACTCTTGCCTCTTGTCCCTATGGGTGACTGATCAGGTTCTTCTAGGAATATTACAGCCAGGGGTCATTTCCTGCAGGAGCGCACAGGAGCGGAGCTCCGGCAGTAAAGAGCCCAGGGGGCGGGCACATGCAACAAGCCCCACCCCCTGCTCCCAGCAGCCCTCAGTCAGAGCAAGAAGCAGCCAGGTAAGTTGCAGAGCCCCCCCCATCCAAAACAGTCCAGTGGCACCTTTAAGACCAAGCTTTATTCAGGTACAAGCTCTCCCTCCTCTGTGAGGGCAGATCTGCACACACCCCTCAATAGCTAGCAATCCAAAACAGTCCAGTGGAGCCTGAGTGATGTCAGGGGGTGTGGCATATGCAAATAAATTATGCTAATGAGCTCCTGCACCTCTTTTTCTGCAAAATGACTCCTGATTACAAGCAGACAGAATAATTCCTTTAGCCTTTCTACAACTGGCATAATTGTATACACTTCCACAGATTCTGCCCTCCTCCCTGTCATCATTCCCCCCCCACTTAAAAAAGCCACAAACGCTTTGGTCTTTTATTATAGGGAAGGTGTTGTAAGCCCTTGAGGCTTACTGATACGTCACTCCCACTAAGGCCTAGTAGGCACCCACTTCCCAGCAAGCATGTGGAAGAGACTGTATCTGCTAAAAGCAGACGAAATCTGTGTTTTAAGCTTTCTGGGTTAAACAGAAGGCTGCAAACATCCCCGCCCATGCCAAACCCAGCCCCCCTGCAATGGTACATGGCTGCCCAGTTGCTCATGAGACTAGACTACTGTAACACACTCTACATGGAGCTGTCCTTGAAGACAGCTCAGAAACTCCAAAATGCAGCAACTGGATTATCAGGGGCTGGACTGCATGGACATATGTCTTATTTCATGGTCTTTGCATTGGCAACATGTTTATTTCCAGGCTGAATTTAAGATGCTGATCCTTCAACTGAAAGACCTTCATAACTAGGATCAAAATCCCTACAGGATCAGTCTCTCCAAGTACAAATGTGTGTGGCAGCTATGGTCCTCATAACAAAACCTCCTTGTTGACCTCTCTAGCAGAACTGTTCAGAACTGCTGCCGCATGACCTTGGGTAAGTTCTACTTTTCTTGAAGGGTCGTCATAGAATCACAGAATTATAGTGCTGGAAGGGACCTCCAGGGTCATCTAGTCCAACCCCCTGCACAATGCAGGAAATTCACAAATACCTCCCCCCTACCCCACCCCAGTGACCCCTGTTCCATGCCCACAAAAGGGGGGGGGGAGCCTCCCGGATCTCCAGGCCAATTTGCCACTTGGGGTCAGGAACCAATCAGCATTTCCCTGGGCGTGTAGGAAAGGGCCACGAGAACTAAGCACTGAGGCAACCCTTCCCGCCCTCCCTCTCATGATCTGCCTAAGTTCACACAACCAGCATTGCTGTCAGATGGCCATCTAGCCATTGTTTGAAAACCTCTAAAGAAGGAGAGCTCATCTACTCTTCTGGATTTTAGGCTGTGCAAAGCAGAACTATTCAGGGCAGTCTTTAAAGGGAGGAGTTAGAGGAAATTTTTAAAATTTTTAGACACAAGTGGTTTCTACTAATATGACTGTTACAGTTTTAAATTGCATTAAGCAGCCATTTTATGGAGAAATGCAGGGCTAGAGGCAGTTTGAATAAACAAATAATATTAGAACTAGAGAAAGCAGGACCTGTGGCGAGAGACCCTGTAGGTAGCTCATGTTAGGGCATGGGTCTATCAAACCCTCACTTTTCAAACTGGAGTTCCAGGAAAAGTACTCACCACGTAGGGAATCTGAATGGTCAGTGCCCCACATGAGTGCTCTGGTGGTTCATCAGCGTAGCTTTCTGGCTGAAGCTTTTCCCACACTCGGGGCATTCGTAATGTTCCTGTGCTCTATGGGTTTCCAGATGGATGATCAACTTATTCCTCCGATGTAAGTTTTTCCCACACTCGAGGCACATGAATGGCTTCTCCCCCGTATGAGTTCTGTGATGACTTATTAGGTGGACCCTCTGTCTGAAAGACTTCCCACACTGAGGACATTTGTATGGTTTCTCTCCCGTGTGAATTCTCTGATGCCTCATTAATTCCCCTTTAGAAGTGAAGACTTTCCCACACTCGGGACATTTGTGCAGTTTCTCTCCGGTGTGGATCTTCTGATGCTTCAGCAAAGTTTGCCGGTGTCTGAAGCGTTTCCCACACTGCGAACATTCGTAGGGTCTCCCTTCAGTGTGGACACCTTGGTGACTGTCTAAGGACGTTTGACAGTTGAAGCTTTTCCCGCACTCGTAACACTGATAAGGTCTCTCTGTCGTATGCCCAATCAAACCGTCTCTTTTCCCGTACTCCGAAAGTTCGTATCGCCTCTCACCCGTATGGAATCTCTGGTGCTGTGGGATGTTCTCCCCCAATGTGGGACATTCAAAGGAGTTCTCGCCAGTATGGACCATAACGAGTCCTGATTTGTAGCGGTATTTTCTCCCGTACTTGGAGAACAACAGCTTTTTCCTCTCTGCATGGACAGGGCTGGTTCTGCTAATACCATCTGACTGCTGGCCATCTTCATTCTCTTGTTCTGCCAGCGGCTTCTGCTGCCAGCTGGATTCATGTCTTTTGTGAATTCCAGGTGTCCCTGGAAGGTTCCATTGGGTTACTTCCGCCAATGTCCCATGTGCTTCCTCCGGGCACATCTCTCCCTCTTGGGATTCCTCCACCTTGACCCGACTTCTCTTCTCCTCACCTGAAGAGACAGAGAAAGGAATATTGTCCAACGCTCTGGAGGTCTCTCTCTCTCTTTTTAAAAGTCTCTTTTTGCGGGCCTTCCCATCTGCCATACAGCACGCGCCTCCTAAACGCCTCATTCTTCGCCTGTCTCTACGAACACATCGGCCCTCTCCTTATAGACCTGTGTGTATTCTTGGCATGAAGAAATTAAACAGGTAGAAAGGTTAACCCCAGTTCTGCTCCTGGAAAAGGCATTCTTCTGATATAAATTCTGGAGATCAGATACCTACAATTAAATCCAACTAGTCCCGGAGAGGTGCCAGTAGAGAACACCCCCGCTGTGTTCCACTGTCTCAGCCACTCCTCACAACAAGGTTTTCCTGGCGAAAGGGATTCAGAACAGACCAAAACTCTGGGAACTGTGTTTCCTGAGAGAATCCCAGAAGTCTAGAGTCTTCCCAGAAAACTTAACGGAAAAAGCGACTCCAAGAAGTCTAGAGACTGGCACCCTCACAAACAGCTCTTCCCAGAAAACTTAACGGAAAAAGCGGTGGCAAGAACAATGGGGTAAGATATGTTGATCACAAGCATCATTACTTGTAAGTAACTGCCACTAAACCCAATGGGAAATATTTCTGGTATGTTTACAGGGTAATCCTAAATGGCGTTACACCTATGCCTGGGGAAAAACGTATTCTATCTCTTTAATAGTGGCCCAATGGAAAGTAATTTACCAGGTAAACCACAAAGGAGGAGGAGGTGGAGGAGGAGATTGGATTTATACCCCGCCCTTCACTACCCAAAGGAGTCTCAGAGCAGCTTATACAATCTCCTTTCCCTTCCCCTCCCCACAACAGGCACCCTGTGAGGTAGGTGGGGCTCAGAGAGCTCTTTCGAGAACAGCTCTGAGAGAGCCATGACTGACCCAAGGTCACACCAGTAGCTGCATGTGGAGGAGTCGGAACTCAAACCCAGTTCTCTCAGATTACAGTCCATGCTTCTAACCACTACACCAAATTGGTTAAAATGTGGAATTCGCTGCCAAAGGATGCAGTGACGGCCACAAGAATAAACAGCTTTCAATGGGGATTAGATAGATTCATGGAGAATGAGTCAATGGCTACTAGGCATGGTGACTGAGGGGAACCTCCACATTCAGAGGCACTAATCTTCTGAATCCCAGAGCCAGGAGGCCACATCAGGGGAAGGCCTCGGCCTGTATATTCTGTTGCTGGCAGTCCAGAGGAACTGGTTGGCCACTGTGTGAGCCAGTATACTGGACTAGATGGACTATGGGTCTGATCCAGCAGGGCTCTTCTTATGTTCTTATGTAATGTTATTTACCTACATGCCATGAAAAGCTTCAACTGCCCATTTCTACACAATAAGCCTCTATTAAACAGGTAGGACATTTCCCCCCAGGCCTGGTGGCTTCCCAACTTACACCAGTATAAACCCATTGGAGTTGATGGGTTTAGAAATGTTTAACTCTGTTCAGGATTACAGTTCATTCCTACACAATTTGTGCTTCTCAAACTCAGAGAATTGCCAACTGCCCACTTCCAGCAGGAGAACCCATGCCAGTGCCCCCTGTCCTCCCTGCCTATGCCCAATGGAGCTGCAGCAGAAAAACTGGTGGCCCGGGGGGGGGGAGAGAATGGTGGCATATGACACTATAACTTCAGTTCTGACTGAAAAGCTAGAAGCGACATCACTATATTGCATGATGCTCTAGGAAAACCCTGCAATCTCTATGGTTTACCACAGAGGTTGGGGGGAATTCCTAGGGCATCACTTCCATTTTGTTTGGCCAGATATTAATTCGTGGCATCACACAATGCCATTTCCACGTGTCTCCATCCTCCTGATCCTCCTGTACCCCTGCAGATTAGAATGGTGGAATATATCTGAACAAAGTTTGACGCTTTCTTCCATCCTCCCCTCATAAAGGGGGAAAGTTTAAGGGGTGGTGGTGAATCTTCAAATTATTCCCACCTCCTGTGATTTCTCATGGACTCCATCTTGCAACGGTAAACTTTTGTACCAAAAGTAAAATTATAAATTCCAAGTAGACCACTAGATCTTTGAAAGCATTACAGATAACCTTTTATAATACATGGTACAGGACACAGGATCAAGTATATAAGCGAGTCCTTCTTGCTCACAACAAAGAGATGTTGAATTTTTTTTATATATCAAATGTTCAATTCCCAGAATATAAACATCACTGATGGATTCTTTTATGTTTTTTGTGGCCAAAATGTCTCCTGCACATGAGCATCTGTGAGGTCTTGGTGGATTCTCTGAGATATGATTCTTCTCAGAAGAGTTTCTTTCAAGTTCTGGGCACTGGTATGGTTTTTCGGGTGTCTCATTCATAGATCTGAAGCTTTCCCCACACTCAGGACCATTGTAGTTTTCCTCTCCTTGTGTGGATGTTGTGAGGTAAACAGGTCTGGTCTCTCACAGATGCTGTCCCTTAGCCTTTGTGCACTCGCTCCTACAGAGATTCCCTCATCTTTATCAAGGCCTGGTTTCATAAAGCCCCCCTCCCCAACACACATACACCAGTGGATACTCATAGTTGTCCGCTCTAGAGTGTTTTATAACAAAAGTGTATTTCTACTTTTTTTCTACCATATCAGGAAAACAAAGGCTCACCACCAAAACAACCACCACGTATCCTCAAGTCGTCTTTCTTCTGCAGCCCCATGATGGACTCACATGTTTCCTTGTGGATCTCATGTGGCACCAGCAAATCCCCTTGGGTCACCTCCGGGTCCAGCCCAGGTGTTACTTCGGACTCCTTTCTTCCACAGGGAGAATTCTCTGCCTTGACCCGTCTTCTATTCTGGTCACCTGCAGAGACAGAGAATGAAGATTCTGCACGTTTCCCGATGACTCCTAAATTCCCACATCTTCCTTCTGTCTCTTTTTCATTTCCGCCACATGTCCCTCTCCACTTTTTCGCCTCTGCTACACTTTTCCTTTTTATTCCTGTCTCAAGAACCAATATTCTGGATATGTGCCAATGGGTGCCGCTCAGCACATCCTTCCAGGAGTTCCAACCCCTGCAGGAGTATAGATGGCAATTTGCTGTCTTTTTTGGTAGCCGTTCTTCAACTACGAAAAGCTGTCCCAGAGGACATCCAAAGAGCCAGAGCCCTTCTGCAGTTCTGGAGAGGACAGAAGTTTTAAGAAGGGCTATTGACTTGTTTGGATGAGTGTTTTGCTTCTGTAATGATGGGGAGACATTTTAACCCCTCTCTACTTTTAGTATTCTTCCCTGCTTCCAGTCTCTCTTATCTGGTATGTATGTGTCTTGGTTTGATTTATTTTTAAGCCATCAGCAAGGACCGTTTTTAAATTAAAAAAAAAGAGAGAGAGAGAAATATAAACTTAGCACCTAACAGCATATTTATGCTTTACAAATAAGTAAATACACCAGTACTGATAAGGTCCGGATCTTTTTTAAATGAAAGAGTGGTCAGGCCCACACGCCACAACTTTTCAGCAGTAAAAGAAATATATAGTGAAGACCAATGTTCCTCCTCTAAGCTTTGGAGTCTTGTGAGCAAAAATTCTACTTTGTGAGCTACTGGCATTAAAGTTGTGAGCAAGTGATTTTGCTACTGCATAAATTAATTGGCTCTGGAGCCATCCTTCCTGAGCTGAGACAAAAATGTGTGAGCTGGAAGCTAAAAAAACTGTGAGCTAGCTCACACTAACTCAGCTTAGAGGGAACACTGGTGAAGACATGCCAAAATTATAATATTTTATTCTACCGGTTACATTAAAGCCTTACCAACAATTGGAGAGTTTGTTCTATTGTTGATTGGGTGCCCGTCTTGAATGATTATAATAGGATTGAGTTTTTTCCTGTAATACTGGGCTGAAGGCTTTTATACACTGTGAGTGCTGTGCTAAGGATTTTTCCTCCTACATACACCATTATAAAGTCTTCTGTACATTATGAATACTTTATGAAGTAGTGTGAACTTCTTGAAGAGCTATCGAAACGAAGATCACAATCCGGAGTCTTCGTCCTCATCAGTGTACCATTTATGGACTTGCACTATTCATGGACCTGTACATTATATGATGTAATTTGGTTTTACTGATACATGTGGTCCTCTGTTATTCTTATCAAATAAATTTACTCTTTTTGCATGACTTTTCGAGCACTTGTGGTCTGTGTTATTTGTACAGCTCTAGGAATCACCAGAAACTCCATGTTTTTACAGTAAGAGTTTCCGATGATTCCTAGAGCTACCTATGTTGCTTTCAGGTATTTTTTTGTTTTGCTCCCCCCCCCCCGGAACTAACATGACACTGCAACTGGCATCTTAGCTCCCCCCCCCATATCCCCACCCACAGCTCTCTAGCTGGACTTTGGTAAATCCAGGCACAGACCAAACCCAACCCTGTTCAACTCCAGCAAAATGGCTGGCTGACAAGCTGTACTTAGATCCCGCCCTGATATAATCTAAAACATGGCAGTAGAAGCAAGTTTTTCTTATTCTATATGGTTTATTCGCCTTCTGCTAAACATGGGAAAGCAATAAGAATCCATGTAAAATGTTTCACGGAGGAACGAAACGGAGGCCGGGGTGTTCTCCAACCCCCCGCGAGAACCAAGCCATCTTGAAATGCAATAAATAAATAAAATAAAATAAAAATCACCAAATGGGTCCTTCCCTCTCCCCCTTACCTGAATCTCTGCCTGAGAGTCTCTCTCTTTCCTCCAGGTACTGGCCGGCCATTTCCTCCACTTTTTCTGATTGGGGTGTGAGATCCGGTTTGCGTACCAAACATCCCTCTTGTGTGTGTGTGTGTGTGTGTGTGTGTGTGTAGAGAGAGGAAAAAAATCACATTAATTGTTCCTTCTACATTCTGATTAAAAATTTTAAACAACTATCCATATGCTGTATTTTTTACACTCTAAATTTTTAAAAGCTAATCAATCAACACGAAAAGAAAATTAAACTCAAGACAGATTAAGCTCGTACCCAACCACAGTCCACGTGTCAGTGAGCGGACAGAGCATATTTGAGAAATCTCCACTGCTCTTCTCAAACGCTTCCTCCCTCTACAAGGGGACAATGCTCCTTTTTGGACAGGTTTTTGTGATATCAACAGGCAACCGCTTCCCTCATCTCAGGCCTATTTGACATGTTTAGCAAACCGAGACATCACGGGTGACACAAGTGTCAAAATGCTTTCTAACAAGTGAGTGCCACTAGTTCATGAACCTTTGCTTTGCCAAAAAAAAGGTCACATGTCCCGCCCTGAGCCTGTTTTAGCAGGGAGGACGGGATAGAAATAAAATAAATAAATAAATGTCATGGTAACTTCCAGATTTGACCACGGTAACATGCTCTATGTGGGGCTGCCCTTAAGGATGATTTGGAAACATCAGTGGGTTCAAAAGGTAGCAACTCGTGTCCTCACAGTTACCCCAAAGACCGACTACTTTAAGCCAGTGCTACTATTTACTTATTTATTTATTGTTTAGACTTTTTGGCCGCTCCTCCCTGCAAGCAGGGTTCAGGGTGGCTGGCGACAGAATAAAAACACAATTTTTGTTGTTCAGTTGCACAGTCGAGTCCGACTCTTTGCGACCCCATGGACCAGATCACACCAGGCCTTCTGGTCTTCCGCCGTCCTCTGAAGTTCGCTCAATTTCATGTTCGTTGCATCTATGACACTGTCTAACCATCTCATCCTTTGCCGTCCCCATCTTCTTTGACCTTCAATCTTTCCCAGCATCAGGGTCTTCTCCAGTGAGTGCTCCTTTCTCATTGGGTGGCCAAAGTATTTGAGCTTCCGTTTCATTATCTGGCCTTCCAGGGAACAGTCAGGGTTGATTTCCTTTAGGATTGACTGATTTGATCTCCTTGCAGTCCAAGGGACTCTCAAGAGTCTTCTCCAGCACCATAGTTCAAAAGAATCTATTCTTCGGCACTCGGCCTTCCTTATAGTCCAACTCTCGCAGCCATACATGACTACTGGGAATACCACTGCTTTGACCATGTGGACTTTTGTTGGCAGGGTGATAATCCCAGTTAAATTAAACCAGCGTTAAACACACAATACAAAGTCATAAGTACAAAGTAAAAAGCAATCCCACGGTGGCAAAAGCCTGAACTACCCAGAGCCTCCAAGGGGGCAGGTGGGAGGTGGGAAACCATCTATCCCGGCTTCCAGTCTGTTTCTGGGCTCAGCACAAGGTGCTGGATTTGAAATGGCTTAGGCTCAGGGTATCTGAAGGTATCAGCCAACACAATACTTGAGGTCGGTTTAAGGAACTATTAAGAGCAGTTGGTGGGGACCTGGGGGATGGCGTGGCTCAGTGGTAGGGTAGGGGCTACAGTGGGAGGGCTTCTGGGGTTCTGGCCCCACTGGGGGACCTCCTGACGGCACCTGGGTTTTGGCCACTGTGTGACACAGAATGTTGGACTGGTTGGGGCCATTGGCCTGATCCAACATGGCTTCTCAGTGGCAGAGCATCTGCTTTGCATCCAGAAGGTCCCATGTTCAATCCCTGGCACTTTTGGTTCAAAGGATCAGGTGGTAGGTGATGTGAAAGACCTCTGCCTGAGACCCTGGAGCCCTGCTGGTCTGAGTAGACAATACTGACCTCGAAGGCCCAACGGTCTCATTCTGCATCAGGCCGCTTTATCTGTTCATGTCTATGACTGTTGAGGACAGCCATGTTGTGATAAAGAGATGTGGGATACCGTGAGTTACACTCAGGGACTTCTCAAATGGCGGGATGAGATGAGGCAAGTTTCCTTTATGGAGACAAATAGGCAGGAGGGGGAAAACCATTTGCCCGCCCACCAGGAAGGAGCAAGATAGATTGCTATTTGGATATCCCGAGCTGGGTCATAAAGGGTTTGGGGACATACACTTTCATTTGATTGGAGGAAGCGTGCAGAGCACTACACGAGGGACCCACTCCAAATTTCTTGATAGGCTAACGTGAAACCCACCCAGCTGAGACAGGAAAGGTAAAAGGCAGGGCTATTTTTGGGCAGGAACGCACAGGAACGGAGGTCCGGCTGGCTCCCAAGTTGGCCACGCCCAGCAGGAACTCATTAGCATAATAGACCACACCCAACAGCAGGAACTCATTAGGATTGGCTACATTAGGGGTGTGTGGCCTAACATGCAAAGGAGTTCCTGCTACAAAAAAGGCCCTGGGTTTTGACAACAAACAAGGTAAACAGAATAACAAGCAAAAGGTGGGTGTGGCTGGATAACCACACTTCTGGTAACATGGGGGTGCGGCCTAATGTGCTAATGAGCTGTGCTGTCGGGGGTGTGGCCCAATATGCTAATGAGTTTCTGCTGTTGGGTGTGGCCTATTATGCTAATGAGTTCCTGCTGGGCTTTTTCTACAAAAAGAGCCCTGGTAAAAGGTATGGGTGGACACCCTGTCAGAAGTGCTCAAGCCAAGGTCCAGGAACAAGGAACAAACGGAATGAAATCTGCCTCAGCCAGCCTCTGTTTTCAAAGTTCCGGCTAAATTTACATCCACTCCAGAGAAAGGAATGCCAGGGTAACACCAGTGCCTGGATTCCCTAGTTAGCCTCATACGAACACAGTTTGAGTCCAGTGGCACACCTTTAAGACCAGCAAAGTTTTATTCAGCGTATAAGCTTCCGTGTGCACGCACACCTTGCCAGACACAAGAAAGTGAAGTCTCCTCAAGCCCCACTTACAGGAAAAGAGAGAGTGGAGGCAGTCACAGCCAAGATGAATAAGTAGGGCTGAAATTGGATCAGGTGGCCCAGTAAGATCAATGAATGGAAGCAAATTAGCATGTGAATGCAAGGGCTAACAAAGAGATGTGAGAACGAAGCTGGGGTCCAGCAGCACCCCCAAGCAAACCAAGCAGAGGTCATTTCGGGGGGTAAGTTGCTTCCTCCCCGCCTCTCCCCACCCCTGCCTGCCTGGGGCCAGGGAGGGCCTTTGTGGGGCTTCCTTGCATTCCCGCCGGCCTTGCAGGTCCACCGCCGGGCCCCTCATGGGGCTCGGCAGTGGAGCTGCAAGGCCGGCAGCAGCGGCCGGGACCGTTGGGGGCGGGGTGTGTGGCCTTATGACACACTTCCGGTGATGTCAGGGGGTGTGGCATATGCTAATGAGTTATGCTAATGAGTTCCCCTAGCTCTTTTTCTACGAAACGACCCCTGAAACCAAGCTTAACCCTGGGTACATGCAAGAACAGAGACTTGGCATGTGCACATTTCTTCACATACACTGAAAGGTGGGGGGTGGAGTAGGCAGACGCTAAACAGCATCAGCCAATGAGAAGCTGTGAAACCTCTGCGAGGGAAAGGAGGGGGAGTGAAATGGAAGGAAAGTCTGTCATCCTCTCAGACAGGGCTTGGGGAAGCAACCGAGAAACAGGGGAAACTGTATTTTATTGTGCTGCAAGCTGCTACAGGGCCTTTTTGTTGAAAAGCGGGCAATAAATCAAGTAACTAAATAGCTCTCTTTTTCCAATTTGAAATTGAGTACTTCTGCCTCCTTAGATTCTAAGACGGTTTCACACTGCAGATATTTAAAGTCTGAAAGAAGAGGCCGTCCTGTGTGTGTGTAATTTCTTCTTTCAGAGTCTAAAAATGGCACTCAGATGCAGAGATCCTTACCCAAAGTATCTGCGTTCCTACTGTCCTCCTGCAGGACACGCCAAAATATGGTCCCTCGCTTTGGCTGTGTCAAAGTCTCCTCCACCACGTCCGAAGACATGCCTGTTTCCTTGAGGTTCTCGGGTGCCTGGAAGAGAGGAAAATGCCCCCCCCATCTCCTGTCAGATTGTGGTATACAAGAGACAAGTGTTAAGGCAAAAACAAGAACTTATAAGTCGAACATCCAGTCCTGCCCCCACACTATAAACCTCAGTTTGCTCATGGGAACCCACTTCTTGAGTGTCCCATGGCTAACTCATGGAAAGAATACAAAAAAAGTGATGAGAAGGCCACATACAGTAAATACAGCCACCTGCCTGACGGCACCAGGTGATTTCCCCTTATGTGCCCCGTAGAGCTCTGTGCTCAGCAGAGCAACATCTACTGGCAGTACCCGGCCCAAAAGACGTCCGCCTGGCCTCAACTAGGGCCAGGGCCTTCTCTGCCCTGGCCCCGGCCTGGTGGAACATGCTCCCGATTGAGATCAGGGCCCTGCGGGACTTACTACAGTTCCACATGGCCTGTAAGACGGAGCTGTTCCGCCGGGCTTCCGCCTAATTGGCAGGCGACCGCTCATCCCGGCCCCGCCTGCTCCAACTGCCCTCATACTTGTTCAATGGTGTAGAGGGCAATGGTTTCCATCAATAGTGACTGGACTACGTTTATGTTTCTGCCCACCTGCCCTTCAGTGCAATGGATTAATACTGGCTTGCCATCTGTTTTAAAATTGGATTCTAAATTGTTTACGGTTTCATGATGTGGCTTTATATGGTTTATATTTCTGTTGTGAACCGCCCTGAGCCCACTTGCAGGGGAGGGCAGGAAAGAAATCAAATAAATAAATGAATAAATAAATTAAAAACTCAACTCCTAGTGTCCAGATAGAAAGCTATCATAAAGTAAGTTCACTGTTCTGTGTGTGTTCAGCTGTTCATCTCATGTTTTGTATTAGTTCCGGGATATTAGAATCTGGAGCTGTTCCAGCCCCAGACTTTACTCATGGCTGGGTAAGTCGGCCAGAGGACTGCTATGAAGGTCTCTATTAGGTCATTGGGCTGGATCCAGTCTAAATTTCTAAACTGGGTTGGATCCAGTCTAAAGTCGAACAGAACTTGCCTGCCTCTGCCCTCCCACTGAGATTCAATGCCACAAAATGCTGCTGCTGGGAGAAGGGTAGAGGACCCCAAGGAATAACATGTCGGGGGTGGAGGGCATTGCAATGGGAAAGGACATTGGTGGAAACTGGCAATTTAAAGTGGATCAAGCCCATTGTTATAATTTATAATAAAGCGGAGTGGATCCAACTGTCCACCAAGGAGTTTTCCTCCAGCCTAAGAGGACTTACTCTAATTTAAGTGGTTCTTCCTCCAATGAAAGAGCCACTAGATTTGGAAGAAGGTTCCTCAGATTGGCTTCAGACTAGAGCCCAAAACAAAAGGAGGGGAATGCACATATAAAGCCATGCTGGATCAGGCCAGTGGCCCATCCAGTCCAGCACCCTGGGTCACACAGTGGCCAAAACCCAGGTGCCATCAGGAGGTCCACCAGTGGGGCCAGAACTCCAGAAGCCCTCTCACTGTGGCTCCCACAAGCACCAAGAAGACAGAGCATCACTGCCCCAGACAGAGCATCACTGTCCATGCCTTGTGGGTAATAGCCACTGAGGGACCTCTGCGCCAGATGTTTCTCCAGTCGTCTCTTGAAGCTGTCTATGCTTGTAGCCACCACCACTTCCTATAGCAGTGAATTCCACATGTTAATTACTCTTTGGGTGAAGAAGTAAATACTTAAATAAATAAGTTTTGCTCAATGGAGCACTAGGATGGGTCAGATCCATCCCACAAGATAGCACAATTGTGCTTTTCTATCAAAATGGCAGGCTGTACATTACACAGGATTTGATCCTACCCCTGCTAAGTACCGAGTGTCACAGAATCATAGAATGTTAGAGTTGGAAGGGACCTTGCAGGTCATCTAGTCCAACCCCCTGCACTCTGCAGGAGCATAGCCGAAAGATAGCCCTACAACATACCCCCCCAAATTGTTTTATTGTTGTTCTATCCTGCTTTTATCTGTTTAGCTTATTTATTTATTTATTTATTCAACTTTTATCCTGCCCTTCCGCCGAAGTGGCTCAGGGCGGCTCACAACATTAATAAAACCAACATAGATAAAACTTGGCATATGTGCCTCATTTGTTAGCCGCCCTGAGCCCATTGGGGAAGGTGAAGTATACATTTAATAATAAATAAAATAATAAAATAAATAAAAGATGGTTGTCCAGCCTCTGCTTGAAAACATCCAGTGAAGGAGCATCCACCACCTCCCGAAGCAGACTGTTCCCCACTGCTCAACCACTCTTACAGTTAGGACGTTTCTCCTGATATTTAGCCAGTAACGACTCCCTTGTAATTTCCACCCATTAGATCTAGTCTTGCAATCCGGAGCAAGAGAGGATGGATCCGCTCCATCTTCTACATGACAGCCCTTCAAATACTTGAAGACTGCAATCATGTTCCCTCTAAGCCTTCTATTTCCCAGGCTAAACACCCAACTCTTTCAGCCTTTCCTCATAAGACTTGGATTCCAACCCTCTCACCATCCTGGTTGCCCTCTTCTGGACACTTTCGAACTTATCAACATCCTTCCTAAAATGTGATGCCCAAAACTGGACACAGTACTCCAGGTGAGGCCTGACCATAGCAGTCTTGCTGGTGGGAAGATGACCTCCCCCAGAAGTAAAGGCTTTTCCTCTGGATGAAAGCTTCTTGTGCTGAATGAACGCACCTTAGCTGGCTGAGCACACTTCTCAGATACAACCCATGGTATCTCATCATTCATGTGCATTTATAGACACACATGCCAGATATAAGATGCATGCATTTTTTTGCATTTATTTATTTATTAGAATTTAAGAAGAGCCCTGCTGGATCAGACCAGTCATCCATCTAGTCCAGCATCCTGTCTCACACAGTGGCCAACCAGTTCCTCTGGACGGCCAACAACAGGGCAGAGAGGCCGAGGCCTTCCCCTGAGGTTGCCTCCTGGCTCTGGGATTCAGAAGTTTAGTGCCTCTGAATGTGGAGGTTCCCCTCAGTCACCATGCCTAGTAGCCACTGATAGACTCATCCTCCATGAATCTATCTAATACCCTTTGAAAGCTGTTTATTCCTGTGGACAACACTATATTCTTTGGCAGCGAATTCCATGTTTTTAATCAATCTCTGCGTAAAGTAGTATTTCCTTTTGTACACCCTGAACCTACTGCCCATCAGCTTCACTGGATGCCCTCTAGTATTTTGGGAGAGGGAGAAAAGGTTCTCTTTGTCCACTCTCTCCACCCAATGCATAATTTTATAAACCTCTCTCATGTCCCCCCGACGTGCCTCTTTTCTAAACTGAAAAGTCCCAGACTCTCCCGCCTTTCATCTTACAGAAGGTGCTCCAACCCCCTAATCATCTTGGTTGCCCTCCTCTGGACTTTTCCCAGCTGCTTTCCCAATGGGGAACCCAAAGCAGCTTATAACATCATCCTACTCTCTTCCGGGTTTTTTTACAACAACAAATCTGTGAGACAGCTTACACTGAGAGAAGGTGACTGGCCAAAAGTCACCGGGCAAGCTTCCATGGTAGAAGTAGGGATTCGAACCCAGGTCTTCCGGGAGCCTAGTCTGACATGCTATCCGCTCTGCCGTGCCAATTCTTGGCATCTGATCCCCACACAGAGCTTTAATTTAAGAACTGGCAGAAATCTAAACAGCAGCGACGTCGGTGTACAAGTGCCTAAAAACGCAGACCTCCCCCCTCTGATCTTCTTTAAAGGGACAGCTAAAGGGACAGTGAGAGCCAGTTTGGTGTAGTGGTTAAGTGCTCAGACTCTAATCTGGGAGAACCGGGTTTGATTCCCCACTCCTCCACTTGCACCGGCTGATGTGACCTTGGGTCAGTCACAAGCTCTGGCACAGCTGTCCTTGAAAAAGAGTTCTCTCAGCCCCACCCACCTCACAGGGTGTCTGTTGTGGGGAGGGGAAGGGAGAGGAGTTTGTAAGCCGCTCTGAGACTCCAAGTGAAGGGCGGGGTATAAATCCAATCTCTTCTTCTTCTTCTTCTACCAGACAACCAGGGCTGCCTGAAGGGTTGGTTAACGCCAATGTGGTTCTTCCGGCTCACACAGTGCCCTGGCAAAGAACAAACTGCCCCAGCAGATGATGACGTACCTCAGCATGTTCACCTTTAGCTGTTTCCTGGGCTTCAGGGGGCAGCAATGAACAGGACAGACTTGGGCATTTGAGTCCACTGCCTATGAAGAAAGGAAGGAAGACTTTAGAAGGAAAACTGGCCCTTATCTTTTGACCAGGTGCAAAAGAGGGCACATTTCCTGACCCAGTTATAGTCATGTGCAACAGAGAACTCCAAAAAAATCAGGAAACCATCTGCTCAAGACATGGGGAGGAAGTGCAAGGGAGGAAGCACGCGGTCACAGTGACAAGCCACATTTCTGTCTGCCACAAACAAATATCCTGATGTAGCGTCAATGTCCCTGGCTGGGGCTTCAGAATAACGGTTCCTTCAGAATGTGGATTTCTGTGGCTCTACTAAGTTAAGTACAAGTCAGTGGCCGCGGGCACACGGGCAGGAAAATGCGGGGGGGGGGGGGAAGCGGGGCTGTTGGCCCCGGGGCAAAACAACGCGGGGGGGGGCTGTGGAGGTTCCGTGGAGGTCCCGTGGTAGGGGGGAGGTGCCGAGCACACCACAATCCTGCGCCGCGGCAAAGAAGCGGCACGGCGAGGCAAACGGTTGGGGTTTTTCCCAGACACCAAAGTGTGCGCATGCCCCATTGGGTGTTTGTGAGCATCCCATGGACAGTTGAAAAAAAAAAACCTTTATAAGAGGGGGCATGGGCGGGCGCCGGAACTACCACCGGAAACGCGATCAGACGCCCGCCCTTGCCCCGCGGTTACCGGAAACTAGTACCTCCGAGGTACTAGTTTTTAACCGCGCATCTTCGGCGGGAAGCCTCGGGTTCGCCGCGGGAGCACTACTCTTCCCAGATGTGGCGGTGAGATCGCGCCCGGAAAATCCGCCTATCTTCCGTCCCTCTAGCGTGCCTAATGCTTCGTGTGACCGCAGCCTGTATGCACCAAGAAACTTAGGCTTTCCGTAATCTAAGACAAGGATCCCCAACCCTTTTGAGCCTGCAGGCACCTTTGGAATCCTGACGCAGTGTGGTGGGCACAGCCAAAAAAATTGATTGCCACAATATGGCTGCCGCCGGTCATTTTCAATTCCACACTGAAGACCCTTGTGCTGTGGTGGCAGTTGCTCCCAAAGCAACATTTAAAAAAAAATTGCACAGCCAATCAGAAGCCTTGCTGGTGGAAAGCCCCATCTGCCCCCCCCTTTCTAAAAATACTTGGCGGGCACCATGTTGGGGACCCCTGATCTCGGGGCTGTGGCTCAGTGGTAGAACACCTACTTTGCATGCAGAAGGTTCCAGGTTTACTCTTTGCTGTCTCCCATTAAAAGGATCAGGCAGTAGGAGGCGAAAGACCTCTCTCTAGGACCCTGGAAAACTGCTGCCACCCAGAATCAATAATACCAAAAGAAAGAATTCTGTAGTTGCAATTTTCCCCCACACGTCGAGAAGCTCTTTCTGTCAAGAGCAATGTTCCCTCTAAGCTGTGGAGTCTTGTGAGCAAAAATTCTAGTCTGTGAGCTACTGGCATTAAAGCTGTGAGTGAGCGATTTGGCTGCTGCATAAATTAGTTTGCTCTGGAGCCATCCTTCCTGGGTGAAGACAAAAATGTGTGAGCCAGAGGCTAAAAAACTGTGAGCTAGCTCACCCTAACTCAGCTTAGAGGGAACAGTGGTCAAGAGTCTATTCTTCTGTGCAACTATTAAAAGGCAAGAGAGCTTTCCTTTGCAGCCGGTCACCTGAACAATCCCACAAACTTGGAAGATGCAGAGCCCCTTAACAGAGTACCGACCTGGCAAACTGTCCGCCCTTCGGCTACTCTGCTTGGCGTCTTTGTAGGTACGTCTCTGCCCAGGGTCTGGGGGTTTCATCTCTGCATCCAGGGAACCCAAACAGAGCTCCTGCAATGGCCCCTGAAAGAGAGAGGGATGACTCCACTCAGAACGGAAGAAAAAGCTAGGGAAGATGTTTCGGTGTTAATTTCTGCTGACAAAAGGGATTTCTGTCAGCAGTATGGAACTTTCTTGATTTCCCCCTCCCACTGAAGCTCAAAAGTGACTCCTGTGGAAGAGGAGACCCTCAGGAAGAGCATGAGGGTCTGCAGTGGGAGGGGGAATTGGCCAAAATCTCACCACCTTCCATTAGTGGAAATCTACTGTTGGAGCTGCGGTGGCTCAAGTGGTTAAGACGCGGAACTGCAGGCTGTGGAAGGTCGGTAGTTCAGCAGTTCGAGACCCGGATGCCGCATGACAGAGTGAGCTCCCGTCTCTAGTTCCAGCTCCTGCCAACCTAGCAGTTCGAAAGCAAGAAATTGCAAGTAGATAAATAGGTACCACTTTGGTGGGAAGATAACAGCGTTCCGTGCGCCTTGGTGTTTAGTCATGCCGGCCACATGACCACGGAAACGTCTTCGGACAGCGCTGGCTCTTCGGCTTTGAAACGGAGATGAGCACCGCAACCCTCGAGTCGGATTCGACTGGCTTTCGAGCAAGGGAACCTTTACCTTTACTGTGGGATCCAATCCACTGATGGCAAAAGTCCTATCCTCTTTGAGGTAAACGTCAAGAAGCTTGTTAGCCTGTGTTATTTCCAGGCGAAGCCCGTGCCTCTGAATGTTTTTGATTAACAACCCACTGAATGTTTTCGATTAACAAAGTTCTCCACAGCTCACTAGTTCTCAAGAGGTTGTTGTAAAATCAAAACTTATGGGCCAAACAGGTTTGTCAGCTTCCCCCCATCCCAAGAGAGGCAAGGCGGACAGACTCTGCAAGAAACAGTCTTCCTTTCCTCACTGTGTACATTTAGTGGTGGTGGTGGAATCCTACTACTGTGTTTTAACTCTGTTAGGCAACTGTCAAGGGCACAGTCATCCTGCCAGAAATAAGAAGTGGCAACATTAGTCGCCAGCTTCCAAACCAGCCCTTGTAGCTATCCCTTTAAAAGGAAGTTTTATCGACATCATTAACAGGTGGAACACGCTTCACTTCAGTCATAAAAATATTCACCTGCTGATTTCTGCAACTCAGGCCTCTATTAAAGGCACAGGATCAAGCTGGGCCAGTTGGAAATGCAAGTGGTAACCTCAAACGTACAGCACAGGCCATTCTGGGATATGGTTGCCAACCTCCAGGAGGTGGCTGGAGATCTCCTGGAATTACAACTGGTCTCCAGGTGACAGAGATCAGTTCCCCTGGAGAAAATGGCCGCTTTGGAAGGTGGACTGTATGGCATTATGCCTCCCTTCCCCCAAGCTTCATCCCCCAAATCTCCAGGTATTTCCCATCCCGGAGCTGAGAAGAAGGCTGTAAGCCTAGACCGAAGAGTGAGCTCAGCTGAACGAAATGAGACTTAATTCCACATCAGCATTCATGAAATCGCACTCTACATGAGATGAGGACTGCAACAGGTTATAAACACTGAGGAATTTCACATTACCCCTTTTAACCCGTTTTGAAGCCGTTTTTGATCCGTCATGGAGTAAACCAGTATAGTGCTGCCATTTCACACATGGCTTTCCCCTTCTGGTAAAGAGCTGGATCTGAAGCGGTTTGCCATTTCAGACTGCACCGCTTTTTCCCTGCTGTTTTTCGCCCATGCGGGCGATCTACGGCTTGTTTTTTTGGGAACGTTCACTTTATAGCGCTATAGCACCACAACAAAACACTCCAGCCATTCCAATGGCGTTGATATACTGCTGTTCCGTTATAGCGCTATAAAATTATAAAGCGAACGTTCCCCCCCCCCAAAAAAAGCCGGAGATTGCCTGCGCCGGGTGAAAAACGGCAGGAAAAAGCGCATCGGAACCAGGAGAGGAAACTAAAGACTACTTGGAAATGGTTGACAGGTAAAACGCTTCATCCCCATTTCCTAAACGGGACAGAAGTGTTTGTGTCTGAAATTACAAATATATTCTGGTAGGGAACTGGTTCTAAAACGGTTCTGTCTGAAATGACAGACCAGAAACCATTTGGGAACCGTTCCTCTTCCGGATTATATCGTCCGTCAGAAATAAACAGCCATTAATACTGTTCCAAAGAGCTGAAAAACAGAAGGCAACCCCTGGAATAGGGGTGGAGGAGGGAGTGGATGGGCTGACGGAATAAAGAGGAATGCAGTAAAATGTGAGCCTTCTGTGCTGTTGGAGACATGCTGGCCTAGAGCTGACCATGAATGAAGGGAAGGCACAAGCAAGCTCCTGCGCACCCCTTGAAAGGTGATTAGAATCACAGAATTGGAAGGGACCTCCAAGGTCATCTAGTCCAACCTCCTGCACAATGCAGGAAATTCACAAATACCTCCACCCCTCACATCCATGCCCAGATGAGGGCAAAAAAACCCTCCAACAAACCCTTCCAAGGTCTCTGGCCAAACTGTTCCTGACCCCAAAGTGGCAATCAGCATTTCCCTGGGCGTATAGGAAAGGGCCACGAGAACTAAGCACTGAGGCAACCCTCCCGGCCTTCCCTCTCATGATCTTCCCAAGTTCACAGAATCAGCATTGCTGTCAGATGGCCATCTAAGCCTCTGTTTGAAAACCTCCACAGGAGAGCCCACCACCTCCCGAGGAAGCCTGTTCCACTGAGGAACCACCCTGTCAGGAAGTTCTTCCTCATGTTTAGCCAATTCCTGGGGTAAGGTAAAGGTAAAGGTTCCCTTGCTCGAAAGCCAGTCGAAGCTGACTCTAGGGTTGCGGTGCTCATCTCCGTTTCAAAGCCAAAGAGCCAGCGCTGTCCGAAGACATCTCCGTGGTCATGTGGCCGGCATGACTAAACACCAAGGCGCACGGAATACTGTTACCTTCCCACCAAAGTGGTACCTATTGATCTACTTGCAATTTCTTGCTTTCGAACTGCTAGGTTGGCAGGAGCTGGAACTAGAGATGGGAGCTCACTCCATCATGCGGCACTCGGGTCTCGAACTGCTGAACTACTGACCTTCCACAGCCTGCAGTTCAGTGTCTTAACCACTTGAGCCACCGCAGCTCCAATTCCTGGGGTACACTTTGGGTATTAATAGAAACACATATAGTAACAAAGAAAATTACTACAATGTCTAAAAACAATGATTACTCTATTTAATTGAAAGCTATATTAACTAATCATAACAGTACTAGGGATAGATATTCTCCACAGCAGCATGAGAAAGGGTGGCATTTCCGACAACCAGAGATTCCCTAAAGACTGAGCATGAGAAGCATCCAAAGATGCTTTTATTTTGGAATGGACTTCAGGGATGTACTTAAGCTGCTGAGAAAGGTTTTCAGCCTTTCAGACACACTATAATTTCTGTCCATTTTTAAGTGGAAATTGAATGTCGATTCCTCACCTGCCATTTCCTGGTTTTGGCCTCCCCTTGGTGGCTCAGCAGAAAATCCTCCGCTAGGGTGGCGGCTTGGGTGCAGTTCTCGGGGCCGCCGGCCCTGATCCAGCTCTGCAGCTCCGGCGGCAGGATGGCCAGGAACTGCTCCAGGATCAGCAGCTCCAGGATCTGCTCCTTCGAGTGCCTCTCCGGCCTCAGCCACCGGCAGCAAAGTTCCTGCAGCTGGCTGTAGATCCACCGCGGGTCTTCCACGTCCCGGAAGCGGAACTGTCGGAAGTGCTGGCGCAGGGTTTCCATGCGGTTGGCTTCCCCGCGCAAGATGGCCGCCTTCACCTTCCCATAATCCTCTCTGTCTCTGGCCTCCAGGCCACCAAAGGCCCGCTGGGCTTCTCCGCTCAGTGCTGGCAGAAGCCGGGCCACCCACTCTTCCTTAGGCCACTGGCAGGCTTCAGCCACTTGCTCGAAGGAGGCCAAGAAGGCCTTGGCATCTTCCCATGGCCCGGGTTCCTTCCCCCACACCGTGTGAGGGGAATTCAGCCCCCTCAGGAACTCCTGCCATTGGGCTTCCCAGTGCTGGCACAGTCCCTTGCACGGCTCCTCTTTACACCGGTGTAGTGTTCGCCATCCAGGCCGTTCCACAGTGTCTTCAAGCTGAACGGTGCTGGTCATTTTTCTCACTCCTTTCCCCAGTTTTGGGCCTGCAGAATTTTGCTCCATTGATTTTATTCCTTAAATTCCAGAACTAAAGAGCAAATGAAGGTCCCTCTGGCAGGTCAGTTTGAGGCAGAAACTCTTGTTCTCTGAGTCCTGATCTTTCTTTAAAAACACCAAGGCGGTAAAGGCCTAGTTTATGCCTCTTATATCCCTCCAGGGCTGATCAGAAAGACTTTCAGTCAAAAGATGTGTCAGAGGCCACCAACAATCCAAGGCCATCCCCTGGAGACCATTTTGACTTGTGTCGGGAATTTCTCCCTCAACTGAAGAAACACACAATGGAGGGGTTAAAATACCAGAGAGGGAGAGAAAGAGAGAGGCAGTTTGGACAAAGCACCTCCAAAATATATTCAACTTTCCATAGGTGAAGCAAAGTGGAAAATAAACCCCTCATCTATGGATTCACCAAGAGGCAGTGTGGCCAAAAGTCTGAGCCCTGCACCTGGAAGTCCCTGGTTCAAATCCTCCCTCAGCCATGAATCAAAATCAGGCCTCCTTTCCCACAATGTTACTCAAATACCCAGAAAAGGAAGCCCTTGGAAGAAGAAGCTATTATGCAGAATGGCACCTCCTCTTGTGGCACCAGGCCCAGCGGTGGAAATCCATTTTGCTGAGGCCTGTCTCCTAGTAACGCCTCCATGCTTAGGGGCCCAGCCTTTGGGAGAACAGCCTGGGAAGAAGTTGAAGTCCTCCGGCCTCTGGCTGTTTATTTCTTATTTTTTGTTTATTGGACTCTCAAGCACAATACATTAATGTCTTAAAGCTACGACTGACACCAGGATACAAACAGCACTTCATAATTTAACAAAATTAAAGGAATTTAATCTTTTTTATTTCCCCTCCCTTTTACTACAGTAGCTTTTATTTTAGGCCTAGGGGGCAAATTCCCAATTAACCAGTTTTAAACTATTTGTAGTTAAAATCCTTGATCAAAGAAGGCCAATGCTATGCTGGGGATTATTAGGAAGGGTACTGAAAACAGATCAGCCAATATCATAATGCCCCTATATAAATCAATGGTGAGACCTCATTTGGAATACTGTGTGCAGTTCTGGTGGTCACCACACCTTAAAAAGGATATTATAGCTTTGGAAAAAGTGCAGAAAAGGGCAACTCGAATGATAAAAGGGTTGGAACACTTTCCCTAGGAGGAAAGGTTAAAGCGCTTAGGGCTCCTTAGCTTGGAGAAACGATGACTGAGGGGTGACATGATCGAGGTTTATAAGATTATGCATGGGATGGAGCAGGTAGGGATATAAGAACTCACAATATAAGAACTCATGGGCACTCCATGAAATTGCTGAGCGGTCGGGTTAGAACGGATAAAAGGAAGTACTTCTTCACCCAAAGAGTGATTAACACTTGGAATTCACTGCCACAGGAAGTAGTGGCGGCTACAAGCATGGACGGCTTCAAAAGGGAATTAGATAGGCATATGGAGCAGAGGTCCATCAGTGGCTATTAGCCACAAGGTATAGATAGGGGCTCTGGGGCAAGTGATGCTCTTTCTTCTTGGTGCTGGGGGGGGGGGTCAACAGTGGGAGGGCTTCTAATGTCCTGGCCCCATTGGTGGACCTCCTAATGGCACCTGGTATTTCTGGCCACTGTGTGACACAGAGTGTTGGACTGGATGGGCCTTTGGCCTGATCCAACATTGGCGTCTCTTATGTTCTTATGTTCTTAATTCAGTGCCAGGGGCAGGGATGGCTTTTTAGAATCTTTTCACAACACTGATTTATTTATTCATTTAATTCATATACTAGTCACCTTTCTATCTTATAGGAACTCAGGGTGGTTTACAATGTAAATAATGATGACATAAATAAAATACATAAATATCACTAGTTAAAATCAAGAGTTTAAAACAGCGGGTAGGCAGAAGAACTAAAGAAATGCTGTCATGAATAAAACTATCTTCAGCTGCCTCCTAAAGTGTGCAAGTGCCAGACACATCTCCCTGATGAGGTCGTGCCATAACCGTGGGGCTGCCACTGAAAAGGCCCTTTCCTGTGTATCCACCAGACACACTTATGTTTAAAAATGAGGTTTGATTAAGATGTCCAGCAGGCCTGAACAAAAATGCCCCATCCCTTGAACAGGGGCTTAATGTGCGGAAATGGGCAGCTCAGGCTTTTCAAGGCATGGAGGTCAGTAACATCCCACCTATTAAATGGACAAACCATTTTTTTCCCTTCCAGTAAGTTGGCAACCCAAAATTTGATCCACCTGCTCATTCAACCTTAGTGTCAGTGTGGTGTAGTGGTTAGAGCGTCCAGCTAGGATCTGATAGACCCAGGTTCAAATCCTCTCTCTGCCATGGAAGTTTGCTGGGTGCCCTTGGGCCAGTCACACTCTTAGCCTAAGTACCTTGTTGTTATGAGGATGAAATGGATGGAGGGAAGGATGGCTGAATTTAGAAGAAGAAGAGAAGAGGAGATTGGATTTATACCCCGCCCTTCTCCTTTCCCTTCCCCCTCCCCACAACAGACACCCTGTGAGGTAGGTGGGGCTGAGAGAGCTCTTGACAGAAACTGCTCTTTTTCAAGAACAGCTGTGCCAGAACTATGGCTTGCCCAAGGTCATCCAGCAGGTGCAAGTGGAGGAGTGGGGAATCAAACCCGGTTCTCCTAGATTAGCGTCCACACACTCCACTACACCAAACTGGCTCTCAGAGGGTTACAAAAGGTTGCCAACTGGCCAAGAGAAATATATCCCTTTAACAGAAACTTAATGCATGGAAATGGGAAGGGGAAGCTTTTAATGGCATGGAGGTATCAACTGAGAAGCCTCCATTAAAGGGACAGAACATTTTTTCCCCAGGCCAGTTGACAGCCTGACAGTTATTCAGCCTTAGCGTGATCCAAATGGGGAAGAAGTAAAGGAGATGATGTGTACATGAGAACAGAACTCCTTATCATAAAGTGTTTTTAGAGTGTTCAAAGCCCCTCCCATTCATTATTGCAGTAATCCTCACTGCAACCCTGTAAGGGAGACCAATATTGTTATACCCATATATTACAGATTTTTACCCATATATATACCCGTATATATAAAAATTTTAAAGGTAGGAGAAAAAAGGATATACCTATGTTTAATTAGCCAGTCCAGTGTTGTTGTTGTTTTACAGCACATATGCGAGTGGTTAACACGATTCCATGTGGCAATGAGTTCCACAAACCCATTCTGCAAGGGGGGGGATTCTTCCAGGGTGGGGAACAGACGAGCCTTCAATTCTGTTTGCTTACTGAAGCCAAAGTATGCTCAACTCTTCAAGAAACCACAGGGATTTCAAAGTCTCTCTTTCCTCGTTCTCTCCTGCACTCAATTAACACAGACACAATTCTCGCTGATTGCAAAGGGGTTTAAACCCGGTCTCGACCCGCTGCGAGAGGAGCGGAAGAGGGGTGCGGCGGTACGATGGGCGGGACCACTTCACATTGCAGGGGGGAGACTGATGTTGTTCAAAGTTCCTCTATACAAATAATTCCTTGTAAGTAGAAAACTAGCACGTGAAGTCCTAAGTCACCGCTTTCCTGCTACCGAGACTACTTTATGTTTTATTCGAAGGGAATTTTTCTCTACACAGGGAACACGGAAAATAGGATTCTCCCCCCTGGAGTCCGAAGTACTACAGCCCACTCACCCAGCTCAGTCTGCGTCTAGACCAGGCCTTCCTCGCCGCTCCAAAACCGGCCTCGCCTTGCGCGGGTCGTGAATCGGATGGTGCCGGCGATCGCTCCCGATCCAGAGCGGAATCGCCGTTTCATTGCGTTCAAACGGGCGCGGCGCCTTAATCCGTTTTAGACATACGTTGCAATGCAAGGGGGATGACACCTTTCTGTGGCCAAGATACCCTTCACCGGGGACGGAAGGATCCTTTGCGGCGGGGCGGGCGGATGCGAATGGGTTTGCATGCATTTATCTGTGACCCTCCAGCGTGCCTCGATTGCACTTTGCAAGAGGAGGCTGCAGGGGGAATTAAGGGTGGGGGGCACCTTTGCGGTGTTTCCCCTTCCATCGGAGGATGCGAGGACGAAGGGGTTAAGGCAAAGGCTTTCTGGGAAAGACGTCAGGTTTTGAATGAAACCAGCCCCTCTGCCGACCTCCGGGGTGGGGGCCAGGATCCAATCCAGCTGAAGAGGAACCTCCTCCCGTCTCCTTTGCTGGGGGGGGGGGGCTGCTACACAGCTACCGACTCCCTCCAACCCGCTTGTATGCGCGCTCCCTCTCCTCGATCCACCCCCCCCCCCAAGTGATCCGCCTTTTAACTCACCTCTCCTGCGGCCATTCCCAAACAAAAGTCCCTCCAAGGAGAGAGGAGGGCTTCCCCTTTGATATGCCCGCCCCCTTCTCCGATTTCCGAAAGGCTGCAGGGAGCAGAGTTTTAACCTCTCAAGCGCCTGGGAGGAGGAGAACCCCCCCCAAAAGGAAGAACGCCGGAAATTAATCTGATGTGCCTACCAATGCGCCCTCTAAGCTGTGGAGTCTTATGAGCAAGAATTCTACTTTGTGAGCGCCTGGCATGAAAGTTGTGAGCGAGTGAGTCTGCTCTGGAGCCATCCTTCCTGAGCGAAGACAAAAACGTGTGAGCCGGAGGCTAAAATAACTGTGAGCTAGCTCACACTAACTCAGCTTAGAGGGAACACTGGTGGGGGGAGTCTGCCTTTTCCATCCCATCTTCTACCCGCAAACACGGGGAGGGGGAGGGTGGGGGTAAGGAAAATTTGGATTACAAACTCTAGAAGGACCCTACCTTGGATGGCTTTTATGCTGATGCTGCTCTGCAGAGTTCCAGGCCCGTGGAGAAGAAATGGGGGGGGGGGGGTAGCCGAGCTCATCGGGTGCAGCGGCTTAGTTTGCCAACCTCCAGGTGGTGGCTGGAGACCTCCCAGAGTTACAACTGATCTAAAGAAGTGAGCCTTGACTCACGAAAGCTCATCCCCTACCGCAGATTT